TCTTTAAGCATCCTCGTCTGACAAGCTGCCTCAAAATGTCCAATTTTATTACACCTTCTGCACTTTTTATTCTTTGCTGGGCAAGGATGTATTTTACCATGTTGTCTGTTACAGCGGGAACAGGTGGAATGCTGTTTTGACTCACTGTGTTCTTGTTTTTTCTGCCATTGTCCCTCGTTACTGCTCCTTCTGCTGTGGAACGGCCGCCTCCCCTGTCTCATGGCGTCTACTGCACACTCCGACCGCAGGCTCTCATTCTGTTGCTTTATTTGTTCACTTTGGCGCGCTATTTGAATAGCTCGTTCAAGAGAGAGATCAGGCTCGAGCTGTAACTTCTGTGAAACATCGTTGTCAGATATACCAATAACTATTCTGTCCCTGATTTGCTCATCTTTAGTGTGCTCAAACTCACAGTACTGTGCCAGTTCATATAAACTTCTTACAAAAGCCTCGACTGACTCACCAGGCTTTTGTGCTCTCTTGTGAAAACATGCTCTTTCATGTATCACATTTCTCTTGGGCACAAAATGATCGGAGAATTTGGCTATCACCGTGTCGTAGTCCAATTCCGGTTTACTTTCCTCTTCATCTTCTCCACCGTCATCGTACACAAAGGAATCATAAATCGCTTCCGCCTCTCTCCCCATTGCGTAGAGAAGCGTGTTTACTTGCACTTCACCGCTATCCTTATCCAACTTTGACGCCACCCGAAAGCGGTCGAAACGTCGGCGCCACATCGGCCATTCCGCCGGCCGCGTGAAGTCAAAAGAATCCGGAGGTCCGAGCTTCGCCATGTCTTATTTTCAGAGCGTGAAGTCGGCCACTTCTGACACCATGTCATGTGTCGATGCTTTTTTAGATGAAGAGGAACCAAATCGTCTTGCTGGCAAAGAATTGTTTTATTAACTGACTCGTATAGCTACAGCTAAGTTACTCGAGCATAACACCGTCACATGCATTACGCGCTTCCTGAGGCGCCTCACTGACGTCACACATGCGCGACTCCCATAATCTGTAGTTACATATCACAACAGTTAGTAAAGTGGACTATTGAAATAAAGTGTTACCCAAGTAATTTAATCAAGGACCTAAAAACCCGTATATAAAAATATTTAAATCATGTTTTTTTTGTTTTTTTATTAAGTACTCGGTATCGGTATCGGCGAGTACTGAAATGCAAGTACTCGTACTCGTACTCGTTTTCCAAAAAAGTGGTATCGGTGCATCCCTAATAACATGCGAACCCAAGGCGTCATAAATCCTTTAGCGTAATATGAGACTACCCTACCCTAGCCCACTCCACTGAATTAAAAAATGCTAATCGGCAAAAATGAGGTCTAAAAAAAAACCAGTGTACATTGGAAAAAAGAATTGGTGTAGAGGTTCCTTTGAAAGAACTTTCACAAATAATCACAAAGAAAAACAGCAAGTAACACACTAAAGTAAACATGAAATTCTGAAGTAGAAAAACTGAAATAGTATTTTGTATTATGTGGAAAGCAGCATCCCAGTGATTTCTGACTCAGTAATGGCGCTAAACTCATTTCTACAGTTTGTTTCTTTTCCTGTCGTGGATGGAAGTTTACAAGAGGCATTTCTGAATATTCATGAACACACAGTAAACATTTTCTCTGCAAATAGGAACATTTCTAGCAGTTATCCAGTTTAAAACTGAATGATTGGCAAATGTAATTACATGACAGGCCACAAGAGGGATTCATCCCTTGTTAATTAATAATAAAACATACATTTTTCCCTCTCTCTGTCTTGATATCTCTCCTTTCTCCACTCCCTTCTATTGCTTCCTCCCGCCCACATTCCTTTCTTTCCGATGGCTTCTTCCCTTGTTCTCTCTCTTCCTAGATTCCTGTAATGCCGGCAGTGTAAGACTTCATTCAGCTCTTTTCATACGGGCCCAACAAATATTTGCCTTCGTCATTATGACCCTAAATCACCATAATCTTGCCTCTGTCTGTCTCTTCAACACACACACACTTCAGAAAATCAGTGCAGCACAAGGGGACATTGTGGAGAAAAGTGTGATTTTGGAGGCCATTAGGCTATGGTATTGTATAATTATCAGAATTATAAATTTATTTGAAATGTACTATATCTGACACTTTTCTAAAAATAAATTTATTTCAATATGGTTCAATGACGTGATGCTAAGACTAAAAATCTGATTTATAATGACCTAAATAAACCTCTTTACTGATGAACATGGTTTGGATTAATGTTTAATGCAAAATAAATGGACCAGAGGAAGGTTAAAAGCGTCATGGATTGGCCTCAATCTACCACAGCAATTACAGTCTCCTAAGCTAGATACCATCAGCCACTGACACTTTCAACCACCTACAAGAAGAGCACAGCACCACTCCTATCCTCACTCACCCAAACTTCAACCTTCCATTCGTTGTTGAGGTGGATGGTGCTCAGGGTGAGCAACAGCAACGCCTCCATCCATGTACCTTTTTTCAAAGAAATTGTCCCCAGCGAAGCAAAATACGATGTGGGAAATTGTGAGCCCATGGCGATCAAGCTAGCATTAGAAAAATGGCGCCACTGGCAGGAGGGAGCCAATCTCAGGTTTGAAGTCATTACGGATAACTTGGAATACCTTAGAGAAGCCAAAAGACTCAATCCTCGCCAGGCCTGTTGGGCACTTTTCTTCACTCGTTTTTAGACTTTTTAGTCACCTACCGACCTGTAAGTAAGAACTGCAAAGCTGATGCCTTATCACGTCTATTTCACACTGATCCCGAAAACCCAACCTCCGAAGACCATCCTCCCTCCAGCCATGGTAAGTCCCATTCAGTCGACCCATGACGAACAGATTAGCCACACTCACTGAACCTGCTCCGCAGGGAGGTCCAGAAGGAAGGGTGTTTGTCTATAGATCGTTCCTTCTGGACTCAGCACATTCCTTTCCGGGTTCTGGACACCCAGGTAGCCAGCGAACCCTCTCTCCGTGACCCAGGACGTCTCCCAATTCGTCCTGCGATGTTCAGTCTTTTCCATTGCCGCAACACCTCGTCACCTCCTCGAAGGAAAGCTGGTACCACTATCTATCCACGAACGTCCATGGTCTCACATTGGGATTGATTTTATGACCGATATGCCACTTTCAAATGCCATGACCTGTGTCTTCATTGTGGTTGACAGATTCTACAAGGCATGCAAGCAAATCCCTACAGCCTTTGAAGGGGGCGTAACATTATTTACCCACATATTTCATCATTTTGGTCTGCCCAAAGACATTGTCTTGGACCGCAGACCCCAGTTCATCTCCCGCGTCTGGCAATCCGTCTTCTTCCTTTGAGGAGTTACTATCAGCCTGACATTCGGATACCACCCTCAATCCAACAGCCAGACTGAACGTAAGATGCAGGAAATCAGGAGGCACCTGAGGTCATATTGCCACCAAAATAAGAACTGGAACCAGTTGAATATGACCAAAACTCTCTCTGTCAGTCAACCACCGGTTTAACACGTTTTCAATGTATTCTAGGCTATCAACCAACGTTGTTCCCCTGAAACCATCAGATTCCCGATTGTTGATCACTGGTTCCAGCAGAGCGAAAGGGTGTGGGGCTCATGTCCATCCAAGCTGACACCCGAAAAGCCAATACACCCCAATACCATCCAGGGCAGCGGATGTGGTTATTAACCCAGGAAATCCGTCTACAACTGCCTTGCCGTAAGCCGAGTCCCCGCTACATAGGTCCATATACCATCCAGAGGCAGATCAACGAAGTCACCTACAGGTTAAACCTACCCCCAAATCTTCGCATTTCTCCATCATTCCATGTGTCCATTCTTAAGCCATTCACTGACTCTGTTACCTTTCTCCACAAACTTCCTCCTCCTCCCGAGCTCATTGAAGAAGACAATGATATCTGATTGGCTTGAGGAAATGGTGGGTGGAGTCCACTTATTTGTGGATTTGTCTGCACTTCGACGCTAGAAGTGTTTTAAAATCCACAAATGCTTAAGGGGATTTACAAATAAATACCAGGCAGAGTTGTGTTTGTGGCATTAAAAAAACATTTGTAAATATATATTTTTGTGAGTTTTATTATTTTTTTTGTGAAATTTATTTGTGGATCATAATCTATTTATTTGGAATAATGCAACAATTCTCACCCCATAGACTTCGCGTTGCTTCAAGTGCATCATTCTGCGCCCGGAATGCGCATAATCACTTTGCCGCTTTTTTTGGAGGCTTTTATATTATAATTATTAGGGGAGGTTTAAACACTGGTGGCAAGGGGGAGTGGCTAGGGGAATATCACTCATGGGCCACGCCCCCTCCCCCTGGTGGAATGGACCTGCCACCACAGCTATTCTGAGATCTGCTCCTTTATCTATTACATCCTACAAATCTGTGAGTGTGACATATGTTCATATAACATAAAATACTTTTTTTTTTTATGGCAAAAATGTTTTTGAAAAATAGAAACATGCTCATTGAAACATGCTCCAGCTCACATTTTTAAATAAAATACAAAATAAATTTAAAATCAAATTAAAACAAAATAAAATAATTGCTTTAGAAGTCTTAGGATCATTGACATTTTTTGAGACTATTAAGCATATTTTCACATTTTATCTTTGAGGTACGTAATATATATATATATATATATATTTTTTTTAATTAGAGTGCAAATTCTTAATATCATTTTAATTTTGGGGTCAAATATAACTTGTTTATGTTTTTCAGATGTTTTTTAAGAATCTTACTTTTGTTTTAAATAGTAAGTTGGAGAATTTCCGTGCAACCGACTTAATTCAAAGTTACATTTCTACATACATTTGTTTTAAATTAGACTTTTCTTTCTACTCATCATCCTAAACCCATAACAAACTAATATTACATTACTAATTAAGAGGATTTCTGTCCTGTGTGGTTAATCATTTCCTGACCTTTGGTGACAATTGAAGGTTTACATGGCGATTTGTGTGTGTGTGTGTGTGTGTGTGTGTGTGTGTGTGTGTGTGTGTGTGTGTGTGTGTGTGTGTGTGTGTGTGTGTGTTCTGGTAATCATCACTTTGTGGGGACAAGAATCTGTTTACACAGTCACGTAATGGGGACCTCTTGCGTTGTGGGGACCAAAAATCAGGTCCCCATAAGGTTAACCCATTTAATTGGATAGAGGAACTATTCTGAAGGTTCTGGGCGGAGTTTTAGCATTGGCCCATAACACATGATTATCAAGTATTGTGCGTGTGTGTAGCGGGAGCTCTGCTGCGCCCCCAAACATTTTTGTCTGGTAATGCACTCACTTCTCCACACACACATTTTCCAATTATGGGTGGGTACCGCCCACTTCCGGGTCCTCGTTAGGAAGGAGTTCGACAGCAACTTGAAAATACAAGTATTAAATTGACAACGTTACTTCACACGGAGAACAAAGAAGAAGATTAACGTTATTTACTGAAGATGCCAACGATCTGAACTTCTGCCGAGGATAAAAGTGAAGCTTAAGGTAAGCACACATAATAAATCAATTAGGTTAATTAGATTAGTCTGCGGGCTAGCTAGTTAGTGCTAATTGTTGAGGCTAACGCAGTTACATGTTTCTCTGTTTTTCCAATTAGCGATCACATAATCATGCAATTTAATGTTAAGGACTTAATTTTAACTGAAAAGTGTTGTGTAGTCTGACTGATTGCTAATGGATTCGGTTTTTAAGGTTGTTTTTGTCTAGTTTGCGCTAGTGCTGGACGGTGGCTTATTTTATATTTTAAATTGAAGATATCTTACATGTAACGTTAACACGTTTGACTGATCAATAATTGTTTTTACATTTAAATTAACTCCATAGGCAGCATATACAAGCCACAGATCTTGACCAAAGTGCTTAACAGAGAAATTAGGTTGGCTAAAATAAAACAAAAACTAAAATAGAAAGTAGCTTTAAGAATAAACTTAATTTTAATTATGACGGTAGTTAAAATAAACTGGGGTTTGTATGGTGAGCTCGTTCAAAAGAGTAACTTGGTTAGGTTAAGGACCAAATGAATAGTTAAATAATTGCCAAGGCTAATGTTACCTGAAATAAAATAGAAGATGGTGAGTTGATGCTCTCAAGGCTAGCATTGTTGTGCCAGTCAATAAATCTAATATTATTTTATAGAGTTCATATGTCTTGTCTTACACTGATGCATACAATATCATTGTAATGCTGTAACATTACAATACCATTTTTATCTACTTCTTGAACATATTAGTTGAATTCTGCGTGTCTTCATTTTCAGTGTAATTAATTTCACATGTTTTTATTTTTCATCAGTTTGAAATGCCACCACGAATCAGCCCCCTTAAGGATGCCATGCATCATGTTGTTTCAAAAACTGACAAAACATTCAAATTAGATGTGAAGTATATCAATGCAGTGAAAGGTAAGGTGGTGTGATTTTTATCATGAAATATTTACCAAGATATGCATTTCCTAACCATTATCTTATGAGCATGTAATGCAAAACTCCTGGGTATATTTAATCAGACCCCTGGTTGCAGCTTATTTTAAATCAGCTGCCAACTATTGATGACTTTTTTAGTGTATTTGGTATCCTTTATCTATAAGATTTTATTAATTTAAAATGTTTTTTTCTGTATTTTGCAGGACGTGGTCTATTTGCAAAGGCTGCCTTTTGCAAAGGTGATTTTGTTGTTGAGTACAGGGGAGATATGATAAATGAAGCAGAACTTCAGAGGAGAAGAAAACGTTACCACGCATCCTGTGCTGCATTTATGTTTGATTTCAAGTGGCGAGGGAAAACATGGTGGTAAGAAGTCAAGTTGTACCAAAGCTATATAAAAAGATAGTAAAAATACATTGATTTGTGGTGGTTTAATTGTATTACTTGTAATCATCCTTTTCTCATGGTTTCATATTTAAGTATTGACGCGTCAAGGGAAGATGGATCGTATGGGCGTATCGCTAATGATTGCCACAATCATCCAAATTGTAAGATGAAAAAAATTGACGTCAATGGAAAGCCTCACCTTTGTCTGTTTGCCCTGAATGACATTAAAGAAGGAGAAGAAATTGCCTATGATTATGGGGGAGAAGACTACCCATGGAGAACACAAGTATGTTGTTAAGCACACTGTGTACAAAATAGGTCATATTTTTGCAACATGTCAACAAATTTGTTGGTTGATTAGAAATCTATGAATCAAATTTGTCTGTTCCAATAAATTATATCCAAATCCCCAAATCAACTCTCCTCAACAGGTGAGTTTAGGTGAATCATTGTGAATGTTGTCTCTTACAGATGACCAGAGTTGCTGTTAATACCAGCACAGTGAATGACTCTGATCCTTCTCTCCAGTCAGTGACTCAGATGGATGAAGAATCTGCTCAAATCAACTCTCCTCAACAGGTGAGTTCACATTCATTAGTAAAGATTTAGGTTTTTTGTCATGGTTTAGTGATTTGTAAGCATATTTTGATGAGTATCTGGTGTAAACTAGTACATTAAACTGTTTTACGACATGTGCCCAGTAGATCAGTTGTAGTGCAGTATTTAGGGCCACTTTTATCCTTCACTGGGATTTTTTTTCTGGGTTAATTGTTGCATTGAAATGGACACTTACGACGTCCCCACAACACACTTTTGGTCAGTATTTGAGTTCACACCCGTGTTTTGAATTTGATGAAACTGGTCCCCATAAGGAACTATAACGTTGTGTGTGTAAAGTCCCCATGAGGCTGGTTTTAATCTAGATATTTGTGTGTGTGAGCGCGCACTAGAGTTAGACTGGACAGGAAATATGTTATAGATGTAGTTGATTTCGTTTTACATTCTCAAATCATGTGGTATCTGCTTCAGATTTCTCTCATCTTTTTCCATTTTCTAAAATCTTGTCATTGTGAATGTTGTCTCTTACAGATGACCAGAGTTGCTGTTAAAACCAGCACAGTGAATGCCTCTGATCCTTCTCTCCAGTCAGTGACTCAGATGGATGAAGAATCTGCTCAAATCAACTCTCCTCAACAGGTGAGTTCACATTCATTAGTAAAGATTTAGGTTTTTTGTCATGGTTTAGTGATTTGTAAGCATATTTTGATGAGTATCTGGTGTAAACTAGTACATTAAACTGTTTTACGACATGTGCCCAGTAGATCAGTTGTAGTGCAGTATTTAGGGCCACTTTTATCCTTCACTGGGATTTTTTTCTGGGTTAATTGTTGCATTGAAATGGACACTCACGACGTCCCCACAACACACTTTTGGTCAGTATTTGAGTTCACACCCGTGTTTTGAATTTGATGAAACTGGTCCCCATAAGGAACTATAACGTTGTGTGTGTAAAGTCCCCATGAGGCTGGTTTTAATCTAGATATTTGTGTGTGTGAGCGCGCACAGAGTTAGACTGGACAGGAAATATGTTATAGATGTAGTTGATTTCGTTTTACATTCTCAAATCATGTGGTATCTGCTTCAGATTTCTCTTGTCCTTTTCCATTTTCTAAAATCTTGTCATTGTGAATGTTGTCTCTTACAGATGACCAGAGTTGCTGTTAATACCAGCACAGTGAATGACTCTGATCCTTCTCTCCAGTCAGTGACTCAGATGGATGAAGAATCTGCTCAAATCAACTCTCCTCAACAGGTGAGTTCACATTCATTAGTAAAGATTTAGGTTTTTTGTCACGGTTTAGTGATTTGTAAGCATATTTTGATGAGTATCTGGTGTAAACTAGTACATTAAACTGTTTTACGACATGTGCCCAGTAGATCAGTTGTAGTGCAGTATTTAGGGCCACTTTTATCCTTCACGGGATTTTTTTTCTGGGTTAATTGTTGCATTGAAATGGACACTTACGACGTCCCCACAACACACTTTTGGTCAGTATTTGAGTTCACACCCGTGTTTTGAATTTGATGAAACTGGTCCCCATAAGGAACTATAACGTTGTGTGTGTAAAGTCCCCATGAGGCTGGTTTTAATCCAGATGTGTGTGTGTGTGAGCGCGCACTAGAGTTAGACTGGACAGGAAATATGTTATAGATGTAGTTGATTTCGTTTTACATTCTCAAATCATGTGGTATCTGCTTCAGATTTCTCTCATCTTTTTCCATTTTCTAAAATCTTGTCATTGTGAATGTTGTCTCTTACAGATGACCAGAGTTGCTGTTAAAACCAGCACAGTGAATGACTCTGATCCTTCTCTCCAGTCAGTGACTCAGATGGATGAAGAATCTGCTCAAATCAACTCTCCTCAACAGGTGAGTTCACATTCATTAGTAAAGATTTAGGTTTTTTGTCATGGTTTAGTGATTTGTAAGCATATTTTGATGAGTATCTGGTGTAAACTAGTACATTAAACTGTTTTACGACATGTGCCCAGTAGATCAGTTGTAGTGCAGTATTTAGGGCCACTTTTATCCTTCACTGGGATTTTTTTCTGGGTTAATTGTTGCATTGAAATGGACACTCACGACGTCCCCACAACACACTTTTGGTCAGTATTTGAGTTCACACCCGTGTTTTGAATTTGATGAAACTGGTCCCCATAAGGAACTATAACGTTGTGTGTGTAAAGTCCCCATGAGGCTGGTTTTAATCCAGATATTTGTGTGTGTGAGCGCGCACAGAGTTAGACTGGACAGGAAATATGTTATAGATGTAGTTGATTTCGTTTTACATTCTCAAATCATGTGGTATCTGCTTCAGATTTCTCTTGTCCTTTTCCATTTTCTAAAATCTTGTCATTGTGAATGTTGTCTCTTACAGATGACCAGAGTTGCTGTTAATACCAGCACAGTGAATGACTCTGATCCTTCTCTCCAGTCAGTGACTCAGATGGATGAAGAATCTGCTCAAATCAACTCTCCTCAACAGGTGAGTTCACATTCATTAGTAAAGATTTAGGTTTTTTGTCATGGTTTAGTGATTTGTAAGCATATTTTGATGAGTATCTGGTGTAAACTAGTACATTAAACTGTTTTACGACATGTGCCCAGTAGATCAGTTGTAGTGCAGTATTTAGGGCCACTTTTATCCTTCACTGGGATTTTTTTCTGGGTTAATTGTTGCATTGAAATGGACACTTACGACGTCCCCACAACACACTTTTGGTCAGTATTTGAGTTCACACCCGTGTTTTGAATTTGATGAAACTGGTCCCCATAAGGAACTATAACGTTGTGTGTGTAAAGTCCCCATGAGGCTGGTTTTAATCCAGATGTGTGTGTGTGTGAGCGCGCACTAGAGTTAGACTGGACAGGAAATATGTTATAGATGTAGTTGATTTCGTTTTACATTCTCAAATCATGTGGTATCTGCTTCAGATTTCTCTTGTCCTTTTCCATTTTCTAAAATCTTGTCATTGTGAATGTTGTCTTACAGATGACCAGAGTTGCTGTTAATACCAGCACAGTGAATGACTCTGATCCTTCTCTCCAGTCAGTGACTCAGATGGATGAAGAATCTGCTCAAATCAACTCTCCTCAACAGGTGAGTTCACATTCATTAGTAAAGATTTAGGTTTTTTGTCACGGTTTAGTGATTTGTAAGCATATTTTGATGAGTATCTGGTGTAAACTAGTACATTAAACTGTTTTACGACATGTGCCCAGTAGATCAGTTGTAGTGCAGTATTTAGGGCCACTTTTATCCTTCACGGGATTTTTTTTCTGGGTTAATTGTTGCATTGAAATGGACACTTACGACGTCCCCACAACACACTTTTGGTCAGTATTTGAGTTCACACCCGTGTTTTGAATTTGATGAAACTGGTCCCCATAAGGAACTATAACGTTGTGTGTGTAAAGTCCCCATGAGGCTGGTTTTAATCCAGATGTGTGTGTGTGTGAGCGCGCACTAGAGTTAGACTGGACAGGAAATATGTTATAGATGTAGTTGATTTCGTTTTACATTCTCAAATCATGTGGTATCTGCTTCAGATTTCTCTCATCTTTTTCCATTTTCTAAAATCTTGTCATTGTGAATGTTGTCTCTTACAGATGACCAGAGTTGCTGTTAAAACCAGCACAGTGAATGACTCTGATCCTTCTCTCCAGTCAGTGACTCAGATGGATGAAGAATCTGCTCAAATCAACTCTCCTCAACAGGTGAGTTCACATTCATTAGTAAAGATTTAGGTTTTTTGTCATGGTTTAGTGATTTGTAAGCATATTTTGATGAGTATCTGGTGTAAACTAGTACATTAAACTGTTTTACGACATGTGCCCAGTAGATCAGTTGTAGTGCAGTATTTAGGGCCACTTTTATCCTTCACGGGATTTTTTTCTGGGTTAATTGTTGCATTGAAATGGACACTCACGACGTCCCCACAACACACTTTTGGTCAGTATTTGAGTTCACACCCGTGTTTTGAATTTGATGAAACTGGTCCCCATAAGGAACTATAACGTTGTGTGTGTAAAGTCCCCATGAGGCTGGTTTTAATCTAGATATTTGTGTGTGTGAGCGCGCACAGAGTTAGACTGGACAGGAAATATGTTATAGATGTAGTTGATTTCGTTTTACATTCTCAAATCATGTGGTATCTGCTTCAGATTTCTCTTGTCCTTTTCCATTTTCTAAAATCTTGTCATTGTGAATGTTGTCTCTTACAGATGACCAGAGTTGCTGTTAATACCAGCACAGTGAATGACTCTGATCCTTCTCTCCAGTCAGTGACTCAGATGGATGAAGAATCTGCTCAAATCAACTCTCCTCAACAGGTGAGTTCACATTCATTAGTAAAGATTTAGGTTTTTTTTCACGGTTTAGTGATTTGTAAGCATATTTTGATGAGTATCTGGTGTAAACTAGTACATTAAACTGTTTTACGACATGTGCCCAGTAGATCAATTGTAGTGCAGTATTTAGGGCCACTTTTATCCTTCACTGGGATTTTTTTTCTGGGTTAATTGTTGCATTGAAATGGACACTCACGACGTCCCCACAACACACTTTTGGTCAGTATTTGAGTTCACACCCGTGTTTTGAATTTGATGAAACTGGTCCCCATAAGGAACTATAACGTTGTGTGTGTAAAGTCCCCATGAGGCTGGTTTTAAACCAGATGTAGATCAAGATGTAATCCAGATGATCAAGCTTTGCTGGACAGGAATATATATATATATATATATATATATATATAATTTTTGTTTTCTTGCGCTTTTTATTTTTACATGTCAAATACTAAAATGTTGTTTACACTGTTTTCTTTTCTTTTTACAGATTGTGATACAGCACCGAAATGAAAATGACATTTTTGTACCAAGACTGAGACGGACTAAAAGTATTGTGGTAAGTTCTCAAGTTGCAACAAGAGACTCAATTGCTATGTTTACATGCACACGTTGGAGTTTTTCCCTCTTTTGCTCCTCTCTTTTAAATTTTAAAATCGTCGATAATTTGAAAGCGAAAGTTAAATGTAAAGGGCATTCATAATTTGAGTCCATTCTTATGGAAGCTTGCTCTGCTCGCTTTTTACATAGGATAAAGGTGTTTGCATATGAAGGCTTTTCAGTCTGATTAAAGGAGAACTCTGGCGAACAATGAACCTTTGGTCTAATAATACATCGGTACATAGTCAATCGTTCTCTGAGATTTGTTTTCATGATAATCGAATATAAAGAGTTATCTCTAAAAACTGTTTAGCGTATAATGCTAGTAATGGGGGCATTGACTAAGTAAAAAGAAATTGCTAGTTTATACCACTAACAAGGCTCAAAATAGCCCCACACTAACGCAGTAACATAATGAGGCTCCATACATGCAAAACGAAGCATTGAGAACTTTGTAAGTGTACAGACCGTTTAATAAGAAGATACTTTATGAAGACAGTTCACTGTTAATGTATACAGACAGAAGCCATCTTAGAAAATAAGTCTCGATAAGTCAAACCACGAACGTCGTGCTGAGTGATCTGAACTGTATGAAGTTCTTTGAACTTCTGAACTGTATGAACGTCGTTCGGGGATCGACTTATCGAGACTTTTTTAAGATGGCTCCTGTCTGTATACACAAAGTGAACCGTCTTCATAAAGTATCTTCTTATTAAACGGTCTGTACACTTACAAAGTTCTCAATGCTTCGTTTTGCATGTATGGAGCCTCATTATGTTACTGTGTTAGAGTGGGGCTATTTTGAGCCTTGTTAGTGGTATAAACTAGCGATTTCTTTTTACTTGGTCAATGCCCCCATTACTAGCATTATACGCTAAACAGTTTTTAGAGATAAAACTCTTTACATTCGATTATCATGAAAATAAATCTCATGATCTCAAATCTCATCAAAGAGAACGATTGACTAGGTACCGATGTTTTATTAGACCAAAGGTTCATTGTTCGCCGGAGTTCTCCTTTAAGCCGTCAGTCTGATTTCTAATGGATTATTTGGTTGCATGTAAACGTAACTATTGTCATTTGTTATTGATAAGTTATTTTGCTTAGAGCTGCCATCAACATTTTATTCTCATCAATCACTCAGTGAAATATAATTTAGGCTATGTAATTAATAAATTATGTGATAAATCATTTTGACTGCAAAATATCAGTGAATCAAAAAAATTGCATCCCCTTTATTTGAAATCAGATGTCCTTATTTGTCAGATCAACTGCCCAAAATGTTTTATTACACTTAAGAACTTTAGTGTAACAAGCAGTAAGAAGCTGCAAATCACATGTAACTTGTAAATTTAAAAATACTTGAACAGTACTTTTTTTTTTTAAATAGTTGCCAATTTATATCTTTTAATGATCAATTAAATGCAGCAGTTCTACCTATTTCTAATGAACTTTTTGATGTTTCTTGTTTACTTTTTTAAGATAAAAGACATTGATCTTCAAGATTCTGGTGAGCTCTTTGATTCTACACCAGAGAGTTCAGATAATTATGTTCCAGATACCACTTCCGACAGTGACTGTGACAGTGATGTTAGCCTTACACTGAACCCAACAAAACGTCAGCTTCTTGATCAACTGGATATGAATGAATCTGCCTCTGTAAGCTCCCCTGACTGTGACTCAACAACGTCAGACAATATGCACAGCGTTACGTCTAAAGCATCTGGAACAGTAGAAGAGCCCAGTTCAAGTCAGAACACAATAGACTGCGTAGTTGTTAATGCATACCATAAAAGAGATGGTGGTAGAGTGTATAACAAGAGACATTACTGCTTGTATTGCTCCAAACCTTACGCTAAGATGGCAAGGCATCTAGAAAGTTCACATGCAAATACATCTGATGTGGCTAGAGCTCTAAGCTTTCCAAAATGTTCAAAGGAGAGAAAAAAACAGTTGGATTATATTCGCAACAAAGGGAACTATGCCCACAATGCTGCGGTTATGGAATCAGGAAAGGGGGAACTGGTGCCATTTAAACGACCACCTAAAAAAGCACTGGGAGAGGATTTCATGCATTGTGCATACTGTCAAGGACTTTTTACGAGAAAGGTCCTTTGGCGACATATGCGTTCTTGCAGACTTAAACCTCAGTCAGTCCCCCCCAAACCAGGAAAAAACCGTGTTCAGTCCATGTGTACATACACGGGGCCTGTGCCTTCAAACATGACCAAACAACTGTGGGGAGTAATCAGTGCCATGAATCCTGACCCAATCACAGATATTATAAAAAATGACAAAGTAATTACTGAAATTGGGCAGCACTTGTTGAACAAAGGAGGGATATCAGCCAAAAATCAACAGTATGTGCGGGAGAAGATGCGAGAATTGGGACGGTTGATTCACAAGGCGAGGAGAGTCACCTCGTTAAAAACGATGGAAGATTGTGTAAATCCAAAGAAGTACATGGAGACTGTCAAAGCTGTGAAGTATACGTGTGGGTATGACAGTGAAACAGACAAGTTCATGATTCCATCGCTTGCAAATAAGCTTGGGAATTCCCTGGTTAAAGTGAGCAAACTCTTAAAAGCTCAGGGATTAATCTCAAATGACAAACAGCTTGTTAAGAATGCCAGTGAGTTTCTAGAAGTCCATCAGAACAAGTGGAACGAGTTGATCTCGGCTACAGCATTGAGGAACATCAGTGAAGCAAAGTGGAATGTGCCCACTATCATGCCCTTTACTGAAGACGTCCAGAAAATGCACACACATCTCAGTGAAGTGCAAGAGAAGTGGTTCAAAACACTCTCTGGAAGTCCCTCTACTAAAACCTGGATGGAGCTGGCAAAGGTGTGTCTAGCCCAGATGATTCTCTTTAACCGCCGCAGGGAAGGAGAGGTTTCGAGTATGCCTTTGTCTGCATTTCTTTCAAGAGACACTTCTCATCCACATGAGGATGTGGACTGGGCACTTTCTGAAGTGGAAAAAAAACTCTGCAGACACTTCACAAGGGTTATCACAAGAGGAAAGCGTGGTCGACCAGTTCCAATTCTTCTGACTCCAAAAATGCTATGTGCCTTAGAACTCCTTGTTAAGCAGAGAGAGGTTTGTGGGGTTCTGAAAGACAATCCCTATATGTTTGCAAGACCAGAAGCCATGACACATTTTCGAGGGTCAGACTGCCTCCGTGGCTTTGCTAAGGTGTGTGGCGCAAAGTGTCCCAAGTCACTGACATCTACAAGACTGCGAAAGCATGCCGCAACGCTTTCAACAGTGCTGAATATGACTGACACCGAGATGGACCAGCTGGCAAACTTCCTTGGACACGACATAAGAATCCATCGTGAGTTCTATCGACTCCCTGAGAAGACCTTGCAACTTGCCAAGATCAGCAAAGTTCTAATGGCACTTGAACAAGGAAGATTAGCTGAGTTCCATGGCAAGAACTTGGATGAAATTGGGATAGATCCTGATGGTGTGGTATTTTATTTGACGTTTGTTTGATTTTTCTGTTTACCATCTATTCAAATACCATATGTTTACGATCTATTATATGCCATTAAGCTTTACTTTGAACTTCCACAGAAAAAGTTCTTAACTCTGATGAGGAAGACGAGAGCATAACAGAGGGACTCTGTTCATCTACTGTTGACGGTTTGTATTACTTTCAAAATACACTACTAGATTTTGCAGTTATTCATAGGTTTCAGTCACTTTACTTGTGAAGACCTGACATGCAAAAACAATGTTCTAACATCAAAGCCAACATTAAAGAAGATTCTTCAGTATGCTGAACAAAAGCTTTTTTTATTAACGAAACTGCTCATTGTGTAATGAATCAAATGCCTCCAAGCTATTCTTCAAAATGTCTTGCACTAAACATTTATTTTGGAGTGAATATTTTTTGTGGACTTTACTACCATAAAAATTATGTTTCATAAGAGAAACGTGCACATTTTTCGTAAAATGCTAGCTGACCCGTTCTCTTCTCGTGTTTGTTGTGTTATGGCACTAAATGAACCATGTCAGATTATCAAGTAATTAACCATTTTATTTCATGTCTTAGTTTGCTTGAGCTTATGTTTGATTAAATGTCTGCTGGAAAGATGCAGTTCAATTATACTTGCAATAATGAAAAATTACACAGGTTTAAGAGTTAATTGTACTTTAATGATTTAAAATAATCAGTGCATAAGTGTGACTAAACACATTGTGTATTGTCTGTTGGAAAATTTTCCTTCGAACCAACAGACATTGGGATATCTTTCAAGCAGGATTCTTTACTGAGAACTCACTGTCCTGTTTATATACCTTTCAAGGGGGAGGGATTTACATAGAGGTGGAGACACTCTGAAACAAAGCATGTAAACGAAGTACGGAAGTCAGTTCATTACTAGAAATTCCCCATCCCTGATCTCATTAGCATAACAGTGTCATTCAGATACATGGGTGATAATCCATTCAGCCTGACTATTCAACGACTGGAACGGGCTCCTAGAGCCATTTAAAGAGTAATTTGACTTGTTTAACCTACAATAGAGAAACAGGACTGGCAGGAATCTTTGGCTGGAAACTCTTGAGGAAACTCAATTGTCAGCATTTTATAGTAAATTTTAAAATGTATATCTTTCTGAAAACATTGAACTTTGATTATTTTCCATAGAACCATCTTCAGAGGTGGCACTTCCTCCTACCGAGAGGAGTGACATGCCGCCACCACCCAAGAGACGCAGACTACCAGCAGATGAAGAGATGCCTACAGAAGCCAGTGCTGTGAGGCCTTCTTCCAAAGGTGAAATCTTTACACGTTTCTAAAACTAAATTAGACAATTTAGGAGCACTTTGATACCCAGATTTCAGACCAGATCACTAAATGCTGATTTTGTTTTTTTGCCATTTCCTGTTTTCTGCCATTTTGAGACGTTTCCGCCAAATCTTTAGTGATTTGAAAACTTGCAACTTAATTGTTCCTCTACACCAGTCCTTAGGTCTTTACACTGGCTCCCAGTTACATTTAGGATTGATTTTAAAGTATTATCACTGTTATATAAATCATTTAATGGGTTAGGACCTCAATATATTGTAGATATGCTCACTGAATATAAACCCAACAGATCACTTAGATCACTAGGATCACATCAGCTAGAAATACCAAGGGTTCACTCTAAGCATGGAGAGTCTGCTTTAGCTATTATGCTGGAACCAGCTTCCAGAGGAGATCAGGTGTGCTCCTACAGTTGTCACATTCAAATCCAGACTCAAAACACATCTGTTTAGCTGTGCATTTACTGAATAAGCACTGTGCCACTGTTCGTACGACTGTTACTGTATTTTATTTAATGTTCTTATTCTAAACTGTTTTAATTATTTACTGTATTTTATTTTTTATTCTAAATTGTTTTAATTATTCTGATTTATTTTGATTATTTGTATTTCTTCTATGCAAAGCACTTTGAGTTACCATTGTGTATGAAAGGTGCTATATAAAAAAACTTGCCTTGCACATGAATTTCAATATCATAATGCTCAGGAACCCTTCTGTAGTTTAGTTGTCTTGGGCGGTGAGAAGTTGAAATCAGGTCAACTTTTATGGTAATGAGCTATGACGTGGTTCTGCGGCACCCAATTGTAATGTAGAAGTGCTCTGCTTTAGAGGATTCCAGAGAATGCAGTCAAGTAACTTTGGTTCCGTCCACATTATTTCCCAAGCACAATAGGAGAGATTGATCATTTGAATTTGATAAGAAGGCGCGCAACACTGTCTATAGGCTTGATTTTCGTGCTAGAACACTTGTTTATCAGTGGGAATGTAAAGTTGAATAGCACTTAACCATTAACACAAAAGCCACACCACATAAATGGCTTTTAATTGGTTTATTTCATTCGCAAACATGTCACTATAATAAAGTTATTTCCTTTGATCAATGTTCTGCAAAAATAACTAATTGACATGCTTGTTTGCTTTTGCGGCCCCTTTAAATGGTTTAAAAAAAGACCAAGCATTCGATTTATGTCAGAGTGTCCACGAATCTTTCCACGGCCTCGCTGGCCTGACGGCCAGAGCGATATTTTTTTTTTCCTCCCCCCGAGCTTTCTATAGTGAATTATCGTGTGTGTGAGTTGAGTATATGCTGAGTTTCGGCTCATTTCTGTTGTGTACCGAGACATAATGAAAACAATCAGGATGTGTATGAATAAAATGACAAGAGTATTGTAAGTAAAATGATTGTGCTGGTGCCTGTATGTCCTGCAGTAAAGTGTCTCCACACACGCACACAGATATGAGTCTAATGTTAATCTGATAAATGTCTTATTAGAGTGAGTGACTTGTAAAGTTACTACTACTTGCATGTTTCAAGTGATGAGCCATATTTAAGGTCATTGACTGATAGGCGAATGTTTGGATTTCATTCAGACTGCCGTTATTGATTTGTCTGTCAAAGCCTGCGTGATAACCTGCAAGCTTTTTTTTTCTTCCTGCGACTAACTAATAAAATCGTAGTTGATTATTAGAGGGCAGACCTAATAAATACTGATTATAGGATTTAGAACTACAGATTGTAATTGCAGCACACACACTTTTATCATTTCAATAGTTTTTTTTCTGTCCACTTAGGTAAAAGTACCCAGAAGACACCCTGGCAGCAGACAGAGGTGCAGGCGGTGGAAAGGCACATGCAGCGATTCATCACATCGCTCACTGTACCAGCAAAGAGCGACTGTGAAAAGTGCTTGAAAGCTGAACCAGGAGCACTGAAGAACCGTGATTGGAAGAATGTAAAATTTTACATTTATAATCGTATTACAGCTTACAAAAAGAAATTCCAGTGCAAATAATAATAATGTGAACATCATGGCAGGTTTTGTTCAAAGATTTTAAAGGGTTAAAGATGTTTTAAGGTTTACTATCCCTTTAAAACTACAGAAACACTTGTAGGCTATAGAATACTTTTGTTTGCCATATGTTTTATGATGACTGTGATGGCCACCAGTCGGAAAACATTGATCAAACAACATTTCAAATAGAGTGTCATGTTTGCAGTACAGTATGTTTATGATGACCGTGATGACCACCAGTCGGAAAGCATTGGTTGGACAAAGTTAATTTAAAGTCGTAGTTTGTTTAAATTCACATGTATGTGAAAGGAAGCATGTGTGAAAGTTATTTTATTTTATATACTTTTAATATCAGGACCTTGTTTTTAGGTATGACTTCATTTTGAGTTTTGTGAAGCTGAGTTCAATAAAAGTTGAATTCCGCAATCGTAATGTGAATTAATGTATTGAAGCTCAATTAGTAGTATGTGTCTCAAATAAGTGTCAGGTGAATGAGAAGCAGCTGATGCTTGGAGGAGGTTGACTGAAAAATTACAATAATAGAAAGGATAATTTGTGGGTATGAAATGGGTCACTAGCACCATATGCGGGCCTTACTATATCTCCACATTAAGTAATCAAAGTTGTTCTACTGCATATTTTAATTCTCCTTGCTTGTAGATTAAACCCATTTTTAAGGGCAACTGGATAAATGAAATCTGAAGATTTGCTAGTGTAAATGCCTATTATTTTTCTATCTAGGTCCCCACAAATCAACTGGGAGGTTGTGTGAATTATGCAAATTGGGTCCCCACAAATCGAAAGGGAGGTGTGAATTATGCAAAGTGGGTCCCTATGAGACATGTCCACTCGATTTTTCAAATGTCCCCATTGTGCATGATCAAATCATTACTTCATCAATTCAGATATTTGAAGGCGTGTATAAGTTGTCAAAGTTATGGTAAGTATCCCTAATTTTTTTTATACTTCTAAACCCTTTAGAAAGGGTGGTCCCCACAGGTGATGGTCATAAAGTTGGTCCCCATCCAACATGGAAACCAGTATGTGTGTGTGTGTGTGTGTGTGTGTGTGTGTGTGTGTGTGTGTGTGTGAGTGACTCGTGCTCATTAGTATAGAGGTTTAAGTTTAAACCTGTCAGTACGGGATGACTGAAACGCACCCGCCCGCCCACAAGTCAGTTTAACGAAGAGAATGAAACTGTTCCTGAGGGGAAGGTAAAAATAGTCTGAGAAAGAGAGAGAAATTGAGAGATACCAAATAAAAAAAATAAGATCTTACCATGGAGGGATATAGGTAAAATTGTCTCTTTAATAGGAGGAATTAATTTTCAGAAATGTACAGGCACCAGACACACTATCGGATGTAATTCTAATTATGTATATGAATTATTATACATGAATTCTAATTATGTATGTATATGAAGAGTTCAGATGCAAAAGCCTCTAAATGCCATTTGAAATTTTCTTCTTTATTGATGATTTTTATCAAACTTGTATATTTAAGTTCAGTAATTTCACTTAAATAACAATTAATAGGTAATCTTCATTGCCATTTAAGTGAAATCACTGAACTTAAATATACAAGCTTGATAAAAATGATCATTTTAGAAGAAAATTTCAAATGGCACTTAGAGGCTTTTGCATCTGAACTCTTCATATATATGTTAGTCATTTAAATATATACTAGTATTATATATATATATATATATATATATATATATATATATAACATTATACATGTTTATAAATTACTTTGATGGAGTGTGTCGCTTTAAATTTCTTAAACAACCAGGAAATCTTGTTAGCTCAAGATTTTGTATTGTCAATGCAAGAGTCCAGCACTCTGCAAAGTCTCCTCCAGCACATCCAAAAGAAATTAAGATCTGAACTCAGAGGAGCCGATTCATGTGTGAAAATGATTCTTCATGCCCCTCCCAACCATTCTTACACAACCTGAGCCTGATGAATCTTGACATTATCATCCTGGAATATGGTCATGATGTGTCATATGGTTGTTTAAGAAATGAAAAGCTACACACTCCATCAGTTAAGGTTAGAAAAACTAGCCAAACATATAACACTATAATCAGCATAGTTTAGTTCTCTTGAAATGGTTTTGGACTATTTTGTTCTGCGTTGTGTTTGTTTCTGGCTGTCCCCCGTTAGCTAGTTCCTTGATTCATGTATGGCTTCTCTTTTGATATGCCATGAGTTTTTGAAGTCTCTTGTGTTCACGTGTAGGTAGAGCTTTTGAAATCCAAGTGCAGTTTGTTTAATAAAAGATCAAGACAAGAAACCAAACAAAACTCAGCAGATGACATATGACTTAACTTAACTTGACAGAACTGTTCAAAGTTATTAAACTGTGACAAAACATTCATTTAACACAGTCTGCAATATGTAATGATATGTAATGTATGAGAGCGGAAATGAAGGTTTGTTGACCTCATAATACATGCATATCTCTCTAAAGCTTGTGTGTGTGTGTCATGTCAGGAGCTCAGCTGCTATAAAGATTCCTTTAATCCGTCTATCTGCTGCCGCGGCCTCTTCTTTCTCTCTCTTTCATTCACTCTCTCGTGCTGAAGTGGAAAACACGGTCAGCATCACCATCTGTGTGTGCTGAGGATCAGGTGGGCTGTTTGCTGCGATTAAACGTTTTCTAATCCTCCGGCTGCTCTTCTCAGAGCAAACAAACTGAAGAGCGCGAGTAGTTGTGTTCACTTTGTAAATTATTAGTTCTTTCTGATTGATCGCTTTTACCAATGTGGATATCAAACTCATGAGTGAGCAGGAAGAAAATTCAAACGCTTTTTTTTTTATAAATGTAAGTATTCGAAAGTATGAAATCGAAATATACTGTATCATATAGTCTATTTTAATATGTCTTATGTTTAGAACTGATCATTTCTGATCATTTAAACAAGGCTCATCATGATGGAATTACGCAACAGTGTAATACTGCTTTTATATAGTATTCAAGATGGTAAATGTAGGGTGTGTAATTTTTGGTTTCTTACCAGAAATAATATGCCATGATACTGACCAGATTCTTTGCCTTACTTTACATTTTTGCTGTCAAAACCCTCTTTGTTAGAAACAAACCGGATTAATTCAGATTAATTCAGATTTTTTGGCGGCTGTTTTGCTTGTTTCAGAGGAGCTGTGATCAAGACAATCTTCCACCAGTCATCTCTCATTTTATGATGAAGCAATTCCTCCGTGACACAGGGAGCCTTCGTAATCGAGAGATCAGTTTTCATCAAGAGATCCTTCACTCCAGGAGGAGCAATCGCTGTACGACACGACAGGAATAGGAGAAGAAAGAGGAGATGACACCTCATCTGCGGATGAATAATTTAAAAAACAGATTGATCAAAGTGGGGCCAAATGCACCCTTTCATTCTCCTGTCATTAACACCAAGTTTGACTTTTGTTATAATTCATCTTTTTGTTCTCTGGCTGCGTAATATGGACGTTGATTATTCTTGCTCCTGGGCTTATCAGGAAGTCATCCTTAAGATCCCTAAAAACATATTGATCCTCCTGACAGCAGCTTCATCTCTCCCAGTGAGATCGCTTCCCTCCATTTCATCTCTAGCTTGTCTACATCAGACTTTCTACTTCCGCTAATTTCATTTCACTCAGTCTGAGATAGCAGCCTATCTTTCAGTTTTCCACCGGTCTGAAAACAGCCGGGCCAATCAACGAACAGATGGCGGGCTGAGAGCTGTGACGTAGACACTAAGCGCCGAGTTTTACATCGCAGTTTAGAGAAATCGAAAACCAAAACGACCGCGAAAATGGGAAACGAGACATTCGAGTGCGTTCGTTCTATCACGGAGAACATTCCGGGTTTTTTCAAACTGAAGCAAAAGTCGATTACAGCCATGTTCACTCCGGTATTTCGCTCACATCATCAAGTGTTTACAGCCAGTACCAGCGTGTGCACTATTGCCGCTATAGGCGAAAAACAATTTTGCCGCCCCTCTATTTGCAACGTATACCAGCAACAACAACATGCCAACATGCCATATAATGCAAAAAAAAAAAAAAAAAAAAACTAGTCTAAAGTCAGTGGCGCGTTGCATGTTGTTGATAATGCTATTTTAAGGGCGCATGCTTGGCCATTATGTAGCTTGTGCAGAACGCACACTTTGATTCTCTCATCAACACAGATGCAAGGAATTTTAACAAGGAAAAATATTAACACTTCAAGCTTACACATTAAGGCAACCCAAATTTTTCAGGCTAACTGTAGTAATGATGGATCAGACCTGTTTGGCCAATAGTGGCAAGACACATAATATAAGGACATAACTTACCCCCATACAACGTCACTTCTCTGTCTTTTACGGCCATGACAAGGACATCGGTCTTTGGCTGTGAATGCTCCTGGCGCGCTCCTATTATCATTATTATAGATAGATAGATAGATAGATAGATAGATAGATAGATAGATAGATAGATAGATAGATAGATAGATAGATAGATAGATAGATAGATAGATAGATAGATAGATAGGTAGGTAGGTAGGTAGGTAGGTAGATAGATAGATAGATAGATAGATAGATAGATAGATAGATAGATAGATAGATAGATAGATAGATAGATAGATAGATAGATAGATAGAGATAGATAGATAGATAGATAGATAGATAGATAGATAGATAGATAGATAGATAGATAGATAGATAGATATAGATTTACAGTAGGATAGATGAATGGATGGATGGATGATAGATGGATAGATAGATGTTTAATGTGTTTTGATTGTAAATGAGTCTCTGAGTCTCCAGAGACAAACATCACACAGAGACTCTGAATTTGATGTTTATTAATTTACACATCAGACACATCTCTCCTTCTGCCTCTCTCTCTCTCTCCCTGTCTCTCTCTCACACACATACTTCTGAGTTCATCCTTTCACGGGCTGTGATAGAGAAATGTTCTCTGGCGTCTCTTAACGTGAAGCACATTCCTTCAATTCACTTCCACAGATACTCCTGCAAGTAATATCGTCAAAGGTGCTCTTTCCATTTCAAAGCTTTCCTCTCTCTCTCTCTCTTTCTGTGAGAGTGATCGCGCCCCAGTGTCCTCGCTGCATGTGTGCATTCATTTCAAACACTCCTAAAGGCCTTGTTTGCTATTACAGCTTTATTCTTTCATTCATGCTGTACATAAATTATAGCAACCTTTATTTCTGTAGCTGCCCTTCATGACGTCCTTTCTGCTTATATCACTGGAGGAACAATACTCAAGAATACAGTAGCTATTCAACAAAAAAATTTCAGAATAAAATACTGGCATACTGCTCACTATACTGCATATTGTCTACTATGTTTATTAAATGTAGTATGTTATTAAATGTAGAATGTCAAACTTTCAATTTACACTATTGGATGTTAATATCCAATATAGGATATG